GTTTCAAATGACAGTCATTTTATGGCAATGATATTCCAGTATGACAATGGTTGTTTGTTTCTGTTTTAGTATTAGATCGAAAAGGTGGTTGCAGGTATTCAGATCCTGGAGTGCTGTGAAATGGCCTTAACCTTGGGCAATTAAGTAATATGAGTGGTGTGATAGGAAATTTTTTGATTCATTGTGATTGACTATAAATAAAAGTAGAATGGTGAGAATAATAATGATGATGCTAGTGAAATACAAGTTGTGATGATACTGGTGATGCACAAGTTCTAATGATACTGCTGATAATGAAAATATATTGTACATACCAATTGTAATGAGACATAAATAATAAAGAGATTGGCAGCAATGAATGTGTATGACTTGATCGATTGTGCTGGTGATAAGGCAGAACCTGTATCAATGCATGGGTGCATTCTTGTATATTGTGCGATAGTGCCATGGTGTGGGTGAATGCCAATATATTGCCACCTAGATGAAGTCCCATTCCATTTTGTGTTCAAAACTATAAGGTCATGTTCTCATCAGCTCCAATCATAACTGGGAAAGTTGGTTTCAACCCTGCTAGCTGGTCTTGAAACTATGTGCACACATATAAGTATGCATTTTTTCCCCTCATGAATTATATTGTTTGCACAAAAAATCTGTTGATTATTTCATCAAGAAACAGCCAGTGAATGTTTGAATTTGGTGTGTTCATGCACTCTGTGCCAAGTAAAAATGACATAATTCATGCATAATATGGTGATCTTTTGTTTCGCGATGTAAAAAATGAAATTTACTTACTGATAAAATTCAGTGTAACCATATTTATTAAGCCTCTATGTCTCTCTGTTAAGCCCTACCTCCATGGGCGAAAGAAGTAATTATAGTATTCTCAGCAAGTGGAATAATTGACCATCATCATGGAAATTATGAACCAAAGATATTTGAAAACACAGTATGATATGTCAATCTTGGTGCGCAATGGTAACAATAACAATTGTGTGGTGAATCTGGTTGAAACAGAGCATTTAATCTCCTGATACAAGGCATGTTTTCTTGGGGTTGTAGCAAAGGTCTTTCATGAATTCTAAGACAGCCCAATTGCTGATGTTGCCAATTGCATTGAACCAAAGCTATTAGACAGGGTACAATTACACCTTTTTCCAAGATATTTATTATATACTATAAGACACAACTGACAAATGAAGTATTTCAGAAAAATATTTACCCTAAAATTATCAGTGACTTGTTGCCATGACTAAAATTATCAAATTTCGTAAATCATGAACTAATGTAACTGCAAATGTAAACAAATAGGTGAACACACACCCAGTACAGACTGTTATTTGCCTTTAGACTCCTAAGTCTGGTTTTTGCTTACATTTATATATCAGATTCCTAATAAATTTGTTACTTTATACATGTCCTTCAGGACTTCAAGATCATTGGATATTATTTCTCATAATTGGTACCCCCGCCTTTATCCCCTTCTTCCAGACAATGAGAAATAAACATCCCAAAAATAAATATGAAATTAACTCACACACAAAGGTTTCAAGATACTGTGTATAATTTCATTCACAACTGTATTTTAAACTACATACATACGGAAACCAACCTGTCACTGTCAAAATATTCTGCTTTGATAACTACATGTTTACACATGAAGAATTTCGTTTCCATAGATGTCCCTTTCACTATACAGGCACATTACTGAGTATGTAACTATGTATCCTTCCATGAAAGTACAATAAAATCCCAAGTGGTCAATACGTAAAAATTACTTATATGAATCATTATTAATCAACAAAGTTTAAATATATATAGCTAAAACGTCGCACACAAGCAACTGCATACATGGATACAAAATAGACAGTTTATTAAATAAGACAGATCACTCGTCAGACACTCGACTAGTTTTCTCTCAGTTTGATCCTCGATCTTTGATAAGTATTACCGTTTGCTATTCCACAATTTATTGAAAGAAAGCTCGTAGAATGCATAGTTTTAATATATACCGACTTTAAATCTCACTAGGAAAGTTTTATTTATCATAAAATAATAAAACTCGAAAACGTCGCGCCTTCGCGCTGCATGCATGTTGAGCAGGGGTGGTAACGTTACGTTACATATACGGGCATGTTACATATACGGGCATGTTATATACGAGCTATCTGATAACATTACGTAATCGTAATTGCGCTCTGGTAGATTGCTAGCCTACATGATGAAGAAAGGATGCTCAAAAATGATAAATATTTACACATTGGCATTGTATAAAAGTCCAAGGATACATATACAGCCCGTATATGTAACATACAGCCCGTATATGTAACATACAGCCCGTATAATGTAGCCTATAACATATGGCCCGTATATATGTAAAATACAGCCCGTATATGTAACATATGGCCCGTATATTTTAAAATACAGCCCGTATATGTAACATATGGGCCCGTATATGTAAAATATATGGCCCGTATATGTAAAATACAGCCCGTATATGTAACATATGGCCCGTATATGTAACATATGGCCCGTATATGTAACATACAGCCCGTTATATATGTAACATACAGCCCGTACTGATATGTAACATATGGCCCGTATATGCATGTAACATACAGCCCGTATATATGTAACATACAGCCCGTATATGTAACAAACAGCCCGTATATGTGACCTACAGCCCGTATATGTAACATACAGCCCGTATATGTAACATATACAGCCCGTATATGTAACGTACATCCCGTATATGCATGTAACATATGGCCCGTATATGTAACATATGGCATGCATTCATGCAGAGAGCCAGATTGCAAAAACTTGCAAATAAGGTCTTTTTTCATAGTCTTAGAGGAGTCTTAGAGAAGAATAACAGAATTACAGATTGAATATTCAACCCAAATCAAATCGGGTTTTAATAATAATAATAAATCGTTTAATATAAATCAACCATTGCAGTCCGAGGACTGAATTACAGTGATAAAAGTAGTTAATTACAATATTCAATTAGTAATTTACATTAAAATTATTATTCTTATTTACAATACTCAATAAATCAAACTTTGCAGCTTGATGTATTATAAAACTATTATTAAATCTATTTGTCTTTGTCCGCTTAACGTTAAACTTTCTATTGTTTCTCAGGCCATATGAGTTTATATTTTTGGTTGGTAGCAATTCAGCCAATTTATGTTGTGCATGGGTTCGTAATAACATTTGAAAACAGCTTATCACACAGCATAGTCCGCCTGTCATGCAAGATTTCCAGTTCTGCTCTTTTTAAGTTTCCTGTATAACTCAAATCTTGATAAATAATAGTACGCATGCAAGGCTCTTTTCTGAATATGCGCTATATCATTTGATAAATACTGCGGTAAACTAGTATGAAACGCCTGACAAGCATACTCGAGTACTGATCTTATACAAGAACAGTAAAATCTAATTAACGATTTGGAATCTACATCAGCTCGTTTGAGTTGTCTTAGCAAATAAATACGCTTAGCAGCTTTCCGTACGATGTTCTCGACGTGCGTGTTCCACTTGAGATCTTGTGTAATAGTTACTCCAAGGAGTTTGCTACATTCACGACTTCGAATGATTGGTTGTTTACATTTAATGAAGTGTAAACACACGGCTGCTTTTTGAAACTTATTATCATTTCTTTACATTTAGTTGGGTTCAACTGGAACCTATTAAGATTTTTCCACTCAGATATTTCATGTACTGTTCCCTGCAGCTCACTTGCACCATCTTTCTTCGCAACTTCTGAAACTGTGGTATCATCTGCAAATTTCCACATTTCTGCCGGTAATCCCCCTATAGTGAGGTCATTAATCATTGCCAAAAAGAGCCATGGGCCAATTTTTGTGCCTTGGGGGATTCCAGCAGGAACAGACATGAAGCTAGAGTAACATTCCAGGTTAATCTTTACTCTCTGAAATCTTTCTCTCAAAAAGTCCGCAATCCAGTTAACGACAGAAGGCTTTATACCAAGACCAAACAATTTGCTAATGAGCAAGTTATCAGAATTTGAACCGCAACTCACTCAGAAATCGAGTAAAGTAAAATTGCGATGGGCTTACAGGTAAACTACGTGAAGCGTTCCTCTTTTGAGTTTCTAAATTGATTGCAATTTTCCTCATTACTTTTGCAATTTAAAAAACTCCCTTGCAAATCCCTTGAGGAAATTTGCAATGTTGCTAAAAGCCAATTAAATTTTCCTCAGTTCCTGTTAGAAGTTCTTAACTTCCTGTTACAAGTTCCTAACTTCCTGTTCTGTTCTGGGCCGTTGCAATTGGCTAACAAAAATAATCGACCAATAACAACGTTATTGGTCGATTATTTAACAATAATTGGTCGAATAAAAACAGGAAGTTAGGAAAATTTAAAATGACGTTTGTTTGCATTGGAATATTCCAACAGGCAATTGATAAAACTAGAATAGTGAAGCGAATAGTCGACGAATAGTACGAATAGTCCGCGAATAGTCGACGAATAGTGCGAATAGTCCGAGAATAGTCGACGAATAGTGCGAATAGTCCGCGAATAGTCGACGAATAGTACCAATAGTCCGCGAATAGTCGACGAATAGTACGAATAGTCCACGAATAGGCGACGAATAGTACGAATAGTGCAATAGAGACTTTGCAAGGCTTTGCAGCAGTGCTGTAGAACTAAATTTACCGGGGGGGGGCTCTGTTGACAAACATGAAATCGTGAAAACATTCGTCGACGTACGTCAATGACGTCATACGTCTAGTGATTGTCATCAGTGGCGCCGTGGCCGAAGGGGGGGGGCATGGCCCTCCCCTATTGTTGACACCCGTCATAAAATTGCCAATGCTGCCGGAAATTGTCGGAAAATTGTCAAGGCTGTCGGAAATTGTCAAAGTTGTCGACGGGGGGGGGGAGTGAAGATTTAAAATGTTGTCGTCCGGAAAACTTTTTGGTTTGTTGGAAAAATTTTTCGGTTTGTCGGAAAAGTACTGCCCTTGCCCCCCCCCAAAAAAAAACATGGGTCCCACGGCGCCACTGATTGTCATTCTACTTCCTGTTAAATATTTGTTAAAACTCAGTGGTCCCGTAATTTTTACCGATTACGTATGACGTCATTGACATCAACGAATGTTTTCACGATTTCATGTTTGTCAATAGAGCCCCCCCCCCCCGCCCCGCTTCGGTAAATTTAGTTCTACAGCACGGTGGAAAGCCTTGCAAAGTCTCTATTGCACTATTCGTCGACTATTCGTACTATTCGTCGACTATTCGCACTATTCGTCGACTATTCGTACTATTCGTCGACTATTCGCACTATTCGTCGACTATTCGCGGACTATTCGTACTATTCGTCGACTATTCGCGGACTATTTGCACTATTCGTCGACTATTCGCGGACTATTCGCACTATTCGTCGACTATTCGCACTATTCGTCGACTATTCGCACTATTCGCACTATTCGCTTCACTATTCTAGTTTTATCAATTGCCAATACAATATATAAATTGATGTTATGCATTACCGTCGATATTATTTAGACCGTGTATTCATTATACATTCTCATTGACTGTATAAGGTGCTAAGCCATCACAGAATAGATGGCTATACTCAGTACAAAGAGCGAAAAATTGCATCAGATTTGTATCAGATCAATAAAGCATAAACAACTATTAAACAGAAGCGGGTAAACGTTTGTACGGCGTTTACGAAGAAAAAAACTTACGAGACTAAAGGAATCAGTTGAGTCAGAGCTCCTTGTATAAATAAGAAAGACGAGGAGATAGCCAACGTGTTTAGGTGTTATCGCCAACGTGTTATCGCTAATCGCTTAATTGGCTCGCCAACAAACTTTATGCAATAGAAGAAAAAAGCAAGGAGGTACATGTAGCCAACGTGTACATTCACGGACCTTGTCCTTGTCTTTGTTTACTGTCTAGTGTTTAGCACAACGCCGTTGTCAACGGTGCAAACTCGTATTCAGTGCAACGATAACTCTACCAGATCTTACGAGAATCAATCTGTAGTATTCTGTACACAGAACTGTATCAAAGCTTGTCAAAAATGTTTAAACACTGCTATAACTGTGAAACTATTGAAATCTAAAGTGATATTTATATTCAACACATGCGAAAAGCTCAAAATAGACCACGTCACACTGGGAAAAGTCAAAGGTCAATGAAACTTGGAAACATGTCACAATTAAGTTAAAATGCGGAAGCGGATGGAGCGGATCCACGGAACGGATATGCGGATAAAATACGGAACGGATGAGGATAAAATGCGTCTTTCAATGATGTAACGACGTAGTGCTTATTATTCATAACATATCTTATACAGCTATTTCAATTATAGTTTATTAGATAAATTTAGCATAGCAGTAGCCTCGTGGGGATGCTTTCAGCGACAGCTGCAAATGCAAATGAAAATTTAGAATATGCAAAATTTGGTTGTTGGTGACACAATAAATAGATGAATTGCATCAGTTTCACAAGGCACGTTTCTGATGTGTTAGGCTTGTTTCAAACGTCACGTCACGCTACTCGTATGCCGAGCGTATTAAAAACTGTCCAGTCTGGCGGTAATCGGGAGGTGGCCGTATTAAAGAGGTGTACGTTAGGAGAGGGAGAAGTTCCACTATATAATATTTTCTATTCTATAATATTCTTCGTGTATAGGTATATATTCGTTTAATAGCTAGTATCCAATAGACAATTTAAAGAAGAGAAAATATATACTGTATATCAACTATGAATAAATCTGTATTATTGTGATTCATTTTCCAACTCTTGTTGAGTATATACTTCCGTCCTTTTAATTGAGTGACATCAAAATATTCTCATTGTTCCTGTTCGTAGCCATAATGATTACATAATCATTCCTCTTTTAAAACTGTGCACTATCCATAGTATCTGCATGTGAGTCAATGATATAGTTTGTTCTCTCACTAGGTGGTACAAATATTGCTAAAGTATTAACAGAACATCTTGGAAGTCTCAAAACCATCAATGGATATCTAGTAGTCAGACAATCTACTCCGCTGATCTCTTTAAATTTCTTCAAGAACTTGACGAGCATAGTAACACGAGGTGGTGGGTTTTCTCCTAAAGAGTAAGTGGATAAAAAGCCTTCTCAAAATGTTGACACTTTGAATTTCCTTATTTGAACCTTCTCCTTCATGCGAAACGCGGGAAGGAGGTAGATCATCAAAAATTTACATAGCATGACATGTTGCATGCAATAGCGTAATTTTGGTCTATTAGGTGATGCAATTGTAAAGTCGCTTTGCCCAACAGAAAGTGTAAGGATTTTAAATGATCAAGAAAGAATCTAAAGATGCTGTAAAAACAAAAAAAGTATGCGTGGGTCTGCTGGGGAATCGTCGAAGACACCATGCTCGTCCTCACTTGGTCCCATGGGCCTAGGCGAAGGCACGTGACCACTTGGTGGTTATGGAAGTATGCTCCCCCAGATAATTATGAAATTTAGAGTGTCTAAAACGCCATTTTATGCACTTTAGGGGATGATTTTACAGAATTCTGATGGTCAGAAAACGACGTATAGTAAAATAGCAAAATTTTGAAAATTGCTCAAACTGGACTTCTTATTTTTATTCTGAATTGTGAAAATTCATGGAATTTTAAAGTGTACGAACCTTGTGTCTGATTAGCCCCTTATCTACCATTGTCTTTAAATGCTTCTGAAATTCATTAATAATCACCTATTTGATCACAAGATGCCATTTGGATACTTGATGAAAATCACTAGTGTTTTCATCAAATATCTTAATTACGCATGCAAAATTACTTGAATAGAATTCCTAATTACGTTATGCTTGGTTAAGAATTCTATTCAAATCAGCAAACGAAAACATTCTTTTACGTCTCGATTAATTTGAGAAGCCATATAAACAACTCGAACTCGTGTCTCACCGGGATATCCAAACACTCGAAAACAATGTATGAAAACACTCGCGCTTCGCGCTCGTGTTCTCATACATTGTTTTCTCGTGTTTGGATATCCCGGTGAAACACTCGCTCTCGTTGTTCATATATTACATGAAATATGTTAACAATTTTTTTAGTTATGCATTGGCGATTTTCGACAACCCAAACCTGGAATCGCTTTGGGATTTTCATCCAAATTTCAAGATCATAGGAGGTGGAAGGAGTCCGGAAAAGGATGGGGTGTTTGTGCAATTGAACCCACGGCTGTGTCTTTATAATATCTATCCATTGATAGATGATGTTTTGAAGTTGAATCGAAGTGACCCTGCTGTGGATATATCTAAAACAACCAATGGCAATGCAAGATTATGTAAGTTTTTGAAGGTGGCGGCATACTGTTTTCGAATTTTAGGGTGTCTCTGGAGTGAAAAGGATTGGGTAAACAAAATTGTGAGTAAGTAAAAGGTTGGGTAAATGAAAAACGAAACAACCCGAGGGATGGGTAATAAAAAATATTGTCATTACCATTATTCTCGAACACTTGCCGTCTTTGAAACAAGAGGACGATCGATGTTTTTTTATTTCAAACACGAACTGCTAACACCATAATTAACATTTAAATTAAGTTGGCAGGACGGCCTGTATTATCAAAAACCTCGTTGCTTAAGCTCTCTTTTTGTGTTCCTCATGGAGACCGACAATATCTTCGATACACGATTGCTAAACCGAGAACATATATCCTAGCCGCATCAGTGCCAGATAGTGTTAGATTCTCGAGGGCGGATTGGAAAACTGCATGTGTTTGTGTCAGTTTGTAATCAATTAGTCTTCAACATATAGGACCGAAAGCAGGGCCTTTTTTACATACAAGCTGGGGGAATGCTCCCCCAGTCCCCCCTTGTGCCCCCACTAAAATCCATTTTACCCCTCCCCTCTCAGGAAAAGTCCCTTTTTCCTAAATTTATACAAACAAACCAGTGAAGAATAACAAATAGATAAACGGAAAGTAAGTTTTTGGCTTTATTCTTTGTCCTTGTTTAACAAAATCGATTTAAACTGGTAATGGTAATTAATAGCTTTATTAGCATGACCATAAATTTACAGTATTGCCAAATCATTACAAACAATATATAGAAGAAACTATGATAAACTAGGACTATTACAGATTATTATTTGTGGAATGATTTATAATAGACTAATACAATATTAAGAAGAATTAAGAGGAAAGAAAGAAGACAAGTATGCTATTTACAAATAAGGTGGTTATTACAACCTTTGCTAATCCGCATTCCTGGTTTCAAGGTATTTAAGTCTTTGCTTGAAACATGAATAAACAAATTTTGAAAGTTTGGTTATGATTTCACTATCAGTTGACTTCATTAGGTCCGCTGATAGAGTTTGAGAGTTTAGATTAATCTTGTCAGATGAAGCATTCTCTAATGAACTTGGAAGGTTTGCACGAGATTGCTCATAGGCTTTGCAAGAGAAGAGGAGATGGGTTTCATTCTCCACCTCTCCTGAATTGCAGATTTTACATAAGCGTTCTTCACGGGGTATATTTTGATAGCGCCCGATCTCAATTTGGAGGTTATGGTTGCTGACTCTAAGTCTTGAAAGACATTTTCTTTTGTATGGATCTTTTATAAATACTAAGTAGTTTTCGAGGTTGTGGTTGTTGAGTAGTAGAAAGTCAGTTTGGATGAATTTTCAAGTTTATGTCTCCAAAATGTTAAGAATTTTTCCTCAAGGGTTTTGGTAATAGTTTTAATATGTTCAGTCGTTACGGCTTCTAAATTAAGGATTTCTTCATTTAGATTTAAATTTTTGATAGTATCCATTGGGAAGTGAGTTTAAGTAAGTGATGTATTTGAAGACCCTTTTGAATACGTTAATGATGAGAGGGAGTTTTCCAAGCTCAGCTCTGGAGGCAATGTTACTTGCTTTCCTACTGATAGCGAGGTAAATTTTACAGAACTTAAGATGAACTTTTTCAATTGGTGATTTATCCCAATTGTTGAAATCATTTTTCACGTATGTCCCCCATATTTCCGAGTTGTATAGTAGGATAGGAGCTATAATTGAATCAAATATTTTAATGGCATATTTGGGATTGAGATGGCTCAAATTGAGCTGTCTTCTTATACCGTATAAAGCATGCAAGGCTTTTTCGCTTAGTTGTTTTAGAGCTAGAGTAAAATTACCATTGTGATTTAGTTTGACTCCTAGGTAAAAGTATTCCTGTACGATTTTTATGTTCCGATTTCCAAGATTAAAACTTGGTCTTGCTTTTCTTGTTTTTCTTTTTTCAAATACCATTATTTGTGTTTTCTTCAATCGCAAATTTATCTCCATAAGCCATTTTTTTTACGTTTTTCTACTACTAAGTAATGATAAATTAGTGTTAATATTTTTTTATTTTTTGTGCGTTTTTTCCTTCTTTTATTTCAAATACAAGTGTAGTTAGCATACATTTTAGAGCAAATTTGGATGCTCAGACTTAAGGAAATGCATTTTTGGGCTTAAAATTTAAAAAATTTCGCAAGGTTATATACGAAACTTTGGAATATTACTAATTTTGTGATGCTCTTTCAAGCTGTGATGAAATTTTTGTCTAGACCAAAATTTAGTCTATAATGCGAATGGTCCATTCTGTCGGCGATTTATCTCCTGGCAAATGTGATCGAATGAATGACATGCAAAAGATTAAGAATTGTTTACTTCTGAAAAGCGACTCTATACTTTCGTGTGCAAATTCACTCATTTGTACCCGTCAGAAGCACAAAAATCTCCGACCGAATTGCTAATGTGAACTATATGCTTTAAGCTCGCTAATATGCAATAAAACGTATTATAATTATTGTAAAACACCATTTCTCCCGTTTTCTAATTATGATGTCGTAAGGGACGCTCGGGAAAGTGTTATGACGTCTTAGTGCCCCCCCCCCCGGCATATTTTTTACCCCCAAGCGTGATACTTAGCTCCAATACATGATTTTAAGTTATTTTTACATATTATTTAGGTAACGTTTCCTTGGTGAATATTACAATAACACCATTGAAATGCCCCACGACAAGCCTTTGTGTTAGAGTCTCTTGGCCAAACAACTTGTCCAAGGAAGACTATCGAAACGTTTTACTTTATTCTGTATGGTACAGAGAAACGTGAGTATAATAATAATAATGGTAATGATAATGATAATGATGATAAAAATGATAATAATGATAATAATGATAATAATAAAGATGATGATAATGATAATGATGATAGCCATAGTGATAGTGTTAACGATAACATTCTTCATTTTGTAATCAATCAATCAATCAATTAAATAACACCTTGTTAAATTCTGGTCATTCTAGTCTAGACAATTCCCATTATAGACTCATTTTAGACTAGTTTGGTTGCAAAATGTTGTAAAATGTAGCCTGCGTACAGGCTCTTTGAATTGAATTAGAGCCTGCCGGTTTAGTCAATAAGAATACGTCTGTGCCCATCACTATTTATAGTGTTGTCAATCAAATTAAAATACAATTAAATTAATGCAGACACGCCTTTAGTCCAGTTCTGGCCCCTGACCGCGCTCCTCCCACGCGGAGAAGGGTCCAGGGAAAACTGCATGCGCATGCTCTCATGCGCAGTACCGATTACCAGCTTTTCCTGGTAATTGGAACTGCACAGTGCGCACGTTTTGATTTGCAAATTATAGTAATATGGCGGCAGAGAAGTATCGAAAGTTATTTCCTTATTACGAGTATAATTTCACAGAGGCCGTAAGTTATGCAGTTATTGCTTGTAATTTAATTTATTTCATTTTACGGAAGGAACAAATACTCTATACAAGGGGTAGAGATGTTGTTAATTTGCAGACTGGTTACGGAAAAAGTATTTGCTACGCTTTATACTTCCATAGAACAGAGAAGTTCGGTTCACAATCCATATGTTCCTAAACAGTTCACAATCCATATGCCTAGCATTCTCGCACGTTGCATCCGACTTTAGTGAAATATCTCTATCGATAGAAGTCGACGTCGTGCTATCTTGAAAAATATGCCCACCGTGGCCGGGCATATTTTTGAAGCTCGCCCGGTGTGGATATACACTCAGAGTAACACCACAAATATCATATTCACCTGAGTACACTACACGAACACAGAAAAAAAGTCGTGCTATCTGTTTCAAAAGTCAACTTTTTATTTATAACCTTTTGACTTACTTGAAAAAACTGAGTTGATCAATAGGATCAATACATCGTCTAACTTCAATTGAAAATAACCCAGTACTAACATTGGGAGAAAGTAATATCAAACGCGTTTTTGAAAAAAACTTCACTTGGCTAGATGAGTAATTGAAGTGGGACAAACATAATGATGCACAATGCAAAGTAATTTCAAATAAGATCGCCCTTTTGAAAAGGGCAAGATCGTTTGTTCCCAGAGAAACTTTGATAGAAATGTATAATGCCTTGGTGTGGCCCCACTTCAATTACTGTTCAACAATCTGGAACGATAGGTCTTGCTCGATAATTGATAAATTATTTAAATTACAAGAGAGCTGCGCGTGTTATAACTGGGGACACGTACGATGTTCGTTCCACACAAATACTAAATAATCTTAATTGGCTTCCAATTGAGGAATTTTTTAAAAAACGAGAAGTAATAATGACATTCAGGGCATTAACTGGTCGATTACCTCAATATCAACAATTACAATCTAAGAAGTAATCAAACCAAATTGGCGCTTCCAAAACCTAAGGCCACATAAAATTTTATATTGGGTTTTTATTGCCATTTTAAACTGCCAATTTCAAACAAATAGAACCTTGAAAGAAATTTCATTGCATTTTAAAGGAACTACGCATTCAGTTCAAGGGTTCAGTCATTGTTCGTGGAGAAATATGTTTATTTCGGTTTGTGACACTTCGCTTTGGAAATCACAGAAATATTAAATGTTAGGAATTACTTTTTATTTATTGATATATAAATTATATAAATATAAAATATAAACCTCCCGCCTCTTCGACATTTTCAAAGTGTAGTGATGAGAATCAAGGAATTTATTTTATGTGGCCTAAGACAAATTTCCTCAAAAGGAGCTTCTCGTATATAGAGCTGCGAAATCGTGGAACGAACTTTCAAGTGAAACCATCGAAAATCACAATGAACTATCAATCTTATCGTTTAAACGGCGATTATATAATTAGGTATAAAATTGATGCCAATAATACTGACAGCCTATACTTTGTAAATAGTCTTTGTTTACTTGTTTATATATATTTTGTGTTTCATAGCTTAGTATATTGATAGATACACGGCCCTTTGAAAACCAGTTTTGTAAATAATTATCCACTGAATAGGCTACCGTGTGTAAATAATTTTACTGGTAATTAAAGATTAATTAAAGATTACTTGACACTGTTGACTTTCTCTGTCCCACCTTTGGCAGTGTCGTTGGCTTTCGAATTAGAATAAACGCAGCTCTTTTTAAGTTTAGGATTAGGTGACTTCCCTGTTGGTTTATGGAGACGCTTTATTTTGCCTTGATTTACATAAGTAAAGGTATCTCTTATATCATTTATCTTCTTTATCAACGTTTCCAGCTTTGACTTGTAGTTTCTGCAGCAAATTATATAGAATTCGTCGCTCCATCTCCTCGACATCAATGGCGCAGTATAAAGCTTGAAAATAATTTCCTAGTTTGGTTTTTCCTTTTGTGTTCGAAAGCACAGTTCTCCTTGTTGGAAGTGTAGTACTGCCACAGATTTTGCAGGCTTCAATTTCTTCATTTACGGGGTTTTTTTTGGTGTCAATACGACGTTTATATTCTCCATTGGCATTTAGTACAGTAATGCGTTGTTTACGTACGTACTTGCAAAATTCATACGGTCAAATTTTATTTCCTTCTTGGGCGGGGCAAGAACTGGCTTTCTGTGATTGGTTTAATGAGAGCATGCGCGTGCAGTTTTCCCTGGACCCTTCTCCGCGTGGGAGGAGCGCGGTCAGGGGCCAGAACTGGACTAACACACCTTATGTAAACAAAACGCAAATCTCGATTACTTTTCAATATACTTTTGTATTTGAGCGAAAACTTTTAAAAGCACTTGTCTTTCTTTCAAACAACCCTGAAATTCCCTGAAGTAGCAATAGTAAGCGAGTTCACAGCACCGCAACGACTTCAATTTGAACAACTACGGCGTACTAGAATGCTCAAGAATGCAAATTGTAGTCGCCTTTGTCTCAGAGTAAAGATGCTATTGTTGATATAAGAAGGTCGCCGTTGTATTTGCCAAACTCTCTTATACAGCAAAAACATCGTTTCCGTCCAGAATATTGTTAAGAGCTTTTGACTCTCCACCCTTTAACTTTAAACAAAAATTTAGTTTCTATACAACTCGTCAAATACATTTTTATCGCTATAGAACGATATTTTTTACTTTGTGTCGACACCTTCAATCTATTGTTGTATAAATGTCATTACCGTTTATGGCAGTTAATAACCAACTACTCAATATCAACCAATGGGAACCCTGCGTCGTTCTAAGCAACGCACAGACGCGTTTTTATTAGCTAGGCCTGCAGGCTCTCTCTCAAATTTCAAAGAGAGTTCAGATAGCCTGTCCGCAGGCTATGTAAAATGCGGAATATATAGCCTTGAAAATTTCGCAAATTTTACAAAAGTATACAAAATTTGCAAATTTTGCAACGCTATATTTTCCGCATTTTACAATATTTCGTAACCAAACTATGCAATTTTAATCATTTTAGTATATATGCTCTTTCTAGCTGTGGTGATTTATTCGCATCTTCTTGTGTACATAGTTTTAAAAATTAGTCTATAATGGGAATTGTCTATTGGCCGATTATGATCACGTGATATTGAATAAAAATTACTATTTTGCTCAGCGCGCGTGCAATGAAACGCATACTATATTACACGCTCAGCCGTGTATTTTTGTTCCATTGCACGGTAAGGTTTTAAATCAATCATTCAAAATGCTATTCGTACAGTAACGTAATCGTTGCTTATTTCACTATTATTTTCATACTGAGACCCATGGAATTAAAACTTCAAATACATAAGTTGTGCGAACCAAAATGACGGGTTTAAAAATATAATATATTTTACTATAATGTTGAGTTAACTTAAATGACCACCATTATATTATTTCTTCATTAAAACATTTTTGGCACTTTTTTGTTGGATTTTAATATTTTTTTTAATAATGCACATGTACAGTAACTGACGTATGTATTTGTTTTCTATTTAATAAATTTAACTCACTTAAAAATTCGATAAAATCCATTTTCGGTATTTTAGTGTCTTATAGAACAAACAATAAATGTTTTCATTTGATGAAAGATGGAATTTTCCGTTCCACTCGGCCGTCGCTTCGTGCAATGCAAAATTCCATCTTTCACCTTATCATTATTCATGTCGATGAGTATTCATTGCATGTGGGCTCAGTGAAACATTTGACAACCGTGGGCTCAGTGAAACATTTAGCCGAGAAAAAATTTAGCAGAGAAATGAAATCGCTTCTTGTAACTTATTTCCAATCCACGTACTTGAAAAAAATGCCCATAAATCCCTGACTTTCATTACCTGATGGCAAGTGAATTTTATTCCAACAACTAATTTTCTAGCCTGCGAACAAGACTCTCAAGCTGAATTGAGAAGCCTGTTCGCAGGCTACTAATTTTCATGTCTAACGTGCCCCAAACGCAAGTGGTTAAAATTGTTACTTTACTGTTTTTTTTATTCGTTATTTAGCACAAGTACTGATCTCAATGAATATGATGATATTGACGCCTGCAATTCAGATCATGTGTAAGTTATTTATTCTGTTTATTTCAATCGATGCAAAGTTATGTGTGGTTTCTATACTAGAAAGGTTTTTTAGGCCCCTTTCAGCGCCGCTCCAGTTATGAGGCAAACTTAATTTAATGGGGAATGGCAATATATTTTTTTATTTTCTCATTTGAAAGAACGTTTAGGACTCTATATGATATTCTTTTACTGTTTTTTTTCATATCTTGTTTACTTCTACAAAAGGAATGAAAATTATGAAATGTTCGCCATCTTCATTTTTTGTAGGTATGCATACACGTCACAACGGGGGTCACGCGATATTTTTATTTAGACAAACAACAATCATTTTGCATTCAAAACTATAACCTGTCTGCCCTTCGAAATATCAAGATCTATTCAAAACCTTTAAACATCTACCAATCAATATTGGGCCAGCAAGGAATACTTTTATATGGTTAATCACGGTTGTGACGTCACCAAAACTAACGTTAAAGGTATGCTATTACTAATAATACGTCTTCAATTTTGTGTAGTTGGAATCGCCAAGACGTTACATCGCTGAGGCAGCTAAGAAGGTATGCCGAAAATTTTTAAGCGACTGTAGATGGGTCTTAAATTAAGCCGCTGTATGCGTAGATGTATATAGTAAATTTTACACGAGCAATAAACGACATGAAACATTGCATTAATGTATTTGATCATATAGAGGCAAAATTACTCAAATAGATTGGCTAATGAGAAGGACATTTTTTCTTAATTCAGGGCAAAATTACTTGTACCTGATTGGCTGAGACGCAAGCGCGGGAAGTTTCTTGTTTTCAATAGCAATAAAAACTATGGCGTCTCGCTTTGTCGTCGCGGATAATGATGTTATTGAAGAATTAAAAACTTCTAGTGAAATCGTGAACACTAGAAAAAGTACAAATTTATTGATTGGAGTATTTAAAGTGGAAGTCAAGTCCCTATGTAAACAAACGGTTTGTTTACATTTTGAACTGCTGTATTTTTTTAAAATATGATGTACTGTCTGAATATCTAACACCATTTTGGTTCGCTATGCTTCTAAATGAATATGAAATATAGTTTATGTTCAGAAAAATTCGAAACATTCGAAATTTGGGCAATGTTTACATTGGAGGGTCCTCACATTGTTATGAGCAGAACCGATGCGCAGAACGGACTTGACTTCCACTTTAAGAAATTGGCAGCCAGGGCAGCGCATTAAGAAACATCGGCGAAAAGGCGAAGACATGGAGACGTACGAGGTTCAAGAACTGGACGAGTTCACAGTTAACTTACGAATAAATTTTGCCCTCTATGATTAACAAGTAATTGCATAGTTCCTGGGAAAATTAATGTTTAATTTCACTTGTGTTTTCAAAGTTTCACAAATTGCCCTCGTCGCTTTGCGACTTGGGCAATTTGTGAAACTTTCAAAACACGCGTGAAATTAAACCTTAATTTTACTCGGCCCTATACGAAGCGAGCACAGCCATACGTAGTCTCCTATGCAGACCTACTTTAGCGGGTTTGGGCCCGCCACGTACGGTCTGCTTACTTTCGCTAGCAATTCGCCTTCCCATTGTATTCCATTAGCCAATAGCATTCAAATGCACAAGACACGCCCACTTTGAATGTCAACTGCAAACTTGTAAAATGTAAATGTAAACAAGGAGCGTGCGATAATCGAATAATACGGTATATACGTATTTAAGTGGCCATAAATGTGAACAGATCGAGTTTTCTGATCAATAGCAGTCGAAGTAGAAAATATTGAATATTTTTCCGACGAATGTACGCGATAGGTCGAAGGCTTAACTGGTAATACTTGTTTTGAACTTGACGCGACTGCGTGACGGCATGTATATTCAATATATATATATATATATATATATATATATATATATATATATATATATATATATATATATATATATATATATATATATATATATATATATATATATATATATATATATATATATATATATATATATATATATATATATACTATTAAAAGAAATCATGGGCGTGAGGGAGTCTATATATGTGATAAAGATTCATGTTAATCTACATAAACTTTAACTTTGATTTTCTCGGTTTAGACAACGTTTATTTTTAAAATTACTTCGCCAATGAACTCATAAGATGAGTCGTTTTCGGCTCGAGTTTGTATATCCGATACAACACGTCTGCTCATGTTGTAAATAGTACTAAGTTTCCGAACGTTAAATATCAGAGCGACTTTTGTAATTACGATTTTAATTTGTTAAACTTTATAAACTTGCTAGTCATATACAAACTTAGAAACCGAAATATGCAATGAACAATTCAGTATTTTATATAGGCTGAATTCTGTCGAGAATTCTGTACTCTTCAATTAGTACTTATAAATCTATTATCTACACCCGCAGTAATGTACACTGTATAACTTTATAACTTTGTCTTGACGTCTTTGCCCAGTATAGTACCCGTGTTACAGTAACACCTGCAAACGCTTGTAAAGTAATCAAAACATCGCGAAATATTTTAGGTGATATTGTTCGATTTTAGTACACTGTCTGTTCAAAACAATAGCTCGACAAATTCTAACAGGTTTTACAATTGTTCCATATTGTAAATTTGTAGACTGGTTTATGTATAACAAATATATCTCTCAGCTCTCGCATATAATCGGTTTAAGATATGAATATACGTACAAATGAAGATATGAAATGTTCAAGATTAAATGTTTTGAAACTTTTGACAACTCAAGCCTCAAGGTCAAAGACATAGTCAAAGGTCAAGCCCCACAATTTTCGTGGGTAAAGTTGTGATTGGCTAATTTTGAGGAAAGGAATTCTTGGCCAAAGTAAGCATACCTTACGTGAGGGCTCAGCCCGCTAAGTAGGTATGCGCAGGAGACTAAGCCATACGCACCTTTGTCAATTTTGAGAGTAATTTCTGCCATTAATTTTCAATTCATGCATGCCTGTAGAAACTGTAATCTTTATTTCTTCCTATTAATATCACTCTGTCAGCATTTTACATAAGTTTTATAAAAGGGTTTTATACATCTAAACAACGTTACAACACAAACTAAGAGTAGAGTAGTAAGTTATTTGATATAAAAGTTTACCAAAATCACATACTCATGGTCATTTTTACTGGGAAAAGAGTTATTAAAGTTTTTTTCTTTCAGTCATACTATGAGATCAGTGCTGCGCGTTACCTACCGCAGGAACCAATCAAAATGCTGCATTTTGCAGATGGACCGCCTTGCCATGTGATAAATATAGTTATTATTTACATGAATCTATGGTTAATGCTCATGCAGCAGCTGGATTTAGTAATCCTTTTGTTTAATATGAAGTTTGTATAATTTTATTTTGGTTTGTAGAGAAACCATAGTCAAACGTGTCGGTGGTTTGAAAGCTTACACGCAGTACGCATTTCGTGTTGAAGCAATTGTGATCGCAGGCACGGGCATCAAGAGTTCCATCACTTACTACAAAACAAAACAAACAAGTATGTGCAATATTCTGTTATTTATGCTTTTCGTGCTTATGTTATACCTTTGCACATGTTTTAATATTTATACAGGATTTTGAAAGCATTTATGTTAACCAGTGGGTTCATCGCCAACAACAATTGCCAGTGTAGACTTTGCAAGAAAAGCTATACCGTCCGCGTACAAATGATCTTGCCTTGTAACACCAAATTCGCGAGCTTCCTAGAATCCTTGCCATCCTTGGGGGCAAATTTCCTAGTATATTCAACGTGATGTAGGTTTTTGAAATAAATACGCATAAAACGACCGTTCGTTATTTATATCCTATTAGGTGTGGTGGGAAAGTATTAAACTGGAAGCATTACAATATGCATGTCAAAGTATTGAACTGTTCATTCATTATCAGTTGTGTTCCTTTCACTTATAGCCACAATTATAAAATCGTCATTATTAAATAGTTGTTGTACTAACATATTTTATCTCCAGTGTGAAGCAAAATAAAGAAAGGTTCCGCACACTTAAGGATTATATTTTCTACCCATGGGACGTACGGGCCTAATTTTGTTTGGGAGGGCACAATATAGTTTCTCCGAACAGACAAATTGAACATTCATTCATATTTTTCCCCAAAATTTTTGGCGAGGGGGGGGGGGTGACCAAAAATTTTTTCTCAGACATACCAAAAAAAATTTTCCAGACATACCAAATACTTTTCCACAAACATACAAAAATTTTGGCGGACATATCAAAAAAATTCCCCTAACATTACATAATTTTCGCAAAGATACAAAAAATTTTTAAGGACATTTCGAAATTTTTATGCCCGAATGTTGCATTGATTTTTGACCGACCGTAAAAATTTTGCGTAAAAATTACGCCTATGTTTCTACCGTGTGGAAACTAAGTGTTTTTGAGCCCAACTTTTTGCATATTCAAATGACGATTGAACAGTTGAATACTTTCATATGGATTCTTGCAATAGCTGTTATCGTAATTGAACACGTCTATGCTATGGACCAGCGGTATCTGCATTATTTTAACATCGAGACGAGGCTATAGGATCATGTTATGTGTTTTTTGACCCTTTAGCCTCGTTTTCGTGCGTACTTCCACTGAGATACCGCTGGTATGCCGCAGCGGCGTATTCAATTACGATAACAGCTATTCTTCCAGTCTCAGTTACATGTTTTAGTTTGAGTGCAACTTATCCCGACACAGAGCTCGCGGCTTGCGCAAAGTTTTAAATATTTTTGTAAAATGAAGGGTTCCACAATTAAACAAGAGAGGTTCCGTACAGACAAAAGAGCTAGGTATTTCTCAACGGAGTTCAGCATGTTTCACAAACCACTCCCTTGGACTTTAAAATGTTTAATAAAAATGCTGCATAATGTTTGCTTTTCTACTGGATAGATTTTAGTGATTGGTAAAGGCTCGGGAATGGACCATTTGCATTATAGACTAAAATTTGATGTGGACAAAAATTTCATCACAGCTTGAAAGAGCATTACAAAATTAGTAATATTCCAAAGTTTCGTTGCGAAATGTTGTAAAATGCGGATAATATAGCCATGCGAAGTTTGCCGTTTTTCAGTCATTTTGTATTACGCGGGTGTTGGGGCATCAATTTCCCGTTTGTAATACAAAATGGCTGAAAATTGCAAATTTAGCAAGGCTATATTATCCGCATTTTACAACATTTCGCAACGAAACTTTGGAATATTACTAATTTTGTGATGCTCTTTTAAGCTGTGATGCGGAAATTTTTGTCTGGATCAAAATTTAGTCTATAATGCAAATGGTCCATTGGTTGAGTATAAATGTTTGTTTCCACTGTTTGTTTCAGAACCGTCAGTGCCGCGAAGTCTTGAAGTTAGTTTCCTATCGTCATCTTCCCTACAAGTAAAATGGAAGAAGCCTTTCTTCCCCAACGGCGAGATCACACATTACGTCGTGAGATATCATGAAAGTCAGTCATCTTATTTGTGGAATATGAAAATTAACTGGTGTAAAAATATAGATTCGTCCATCAATTTCATTCAGAAAAGAGAAGAGAAGAATGAGGGTAGGTGTGAAATTGCTATTTAAATGTCGTTGCTATAGGGCGCAGTAAAACATTGCTTATAGACTACAGCAGAATTTACGTATGATCACACACCGGTATAATATATCATTTATAGACCCTCCGCTCGGCTGATTCGGCGAAATATTATCCGAATTGGTGATATTTCCCGAGGGGCTTTTCCCTGTGGGGGGAAATGTCATCGCTGAGGGTAATATTTCACTTTGTAAAACTCGTTAATGAAGAAAACACACGAGTTTGTCCATCTGATACAAAATCATGCTGATTTACATGAACTTTAAGTTCAATCTTCTCACCAAATATGTAACTTGTTGAAGAGTACGAATGTTCTCATCAAGACGTAGACTTTCCTAAAGTCCTTTCCAGTTTTTTTTCGCGTTCGTAAGTACGCTGGAAAGGACTTTTCTCACTTGCAGCGCGCCAAATCTACCGGTGGATTCTTTGACCGGGGTGTGATTGGGGGTGTCATTATTCTAGCCAATAAAAGCATAGAATAAAGATCCACATAGAAGGGCAACTTACGTCGGAAGCTTTGAAGTTTTTGTCCTCGCGCATGTCGCATTACGCATGTTGGCCGCCATTTTCCTAGCCAGTCAATGACATTTTCTGGCCAATAAACACGCTGTACTGGCTGGCTGCTCCGCCTTCTGGCCAGTAAACTGCATATTTTTGCATAAAAAAACGAGGACACGTTGCACCGCTGAGTTGCCCTTCTGTTACTGATCTTTATTCTGTGATAAAAGCGCATATATAAATTATTTGAATTAATTATTCAAATATCGTTACAGTAATTAGGCTTTCGACTTATTTAATACAAATAAACAATAAAACAAAGTCATTTCAAAGTAGAAAATATGGTTAGTACGTAGTTCTTGAAGATGCAATGAAATATTGGCAACAGAGGCGAACTGTTGTTTAACTGAGTTAATTTTCTAAACTAAAGCGGCATTTTTGCCCCTACAAGAACGGCAAACAACATTTGTTAGAATGTTTAATAACAGTGTAGTTTTACTACAATGAACTGTTCCAATTATTGTAATAGTTCAATGTTTTCGCAGACATTCGTCTTTTTATGTCCAGGAAAGAATCGCCGTCGCTTATCTACATCTTCCATGACCATGTCTTTGCCGCATTGTAAACACAACGTGTCATGGAATTTGGAGAAAGATCGTCTTGAAAATATAGTCATAGAAAGAAGTATAAATCTACCGTAAATTTATACGTCATTTTAGTCTAAATTGATAGCATTTTCGCTTATGTTATTAACAGTTATTGTCATTAGAAATTACTCTGTTTTCAAATTTGAGCCGAGCGGAAATCTACGATCGAAAAGTCAATTAGGAAAGTCTATTTACAAATTGAGCTGAAATGGACAACTTTTGTGAAACTTACATGTACTATTACAAGACGAGCGGCCGTGTTGTATTGGATATACAAACTCGAGCCGAAGGCGAGAGTTTGTATATCCGATCATGGATAATAAAATAAATGGATAGGAAACTAGCTGACGTCACCTAATGTTTTCAATGGGCTGATGGTGTGGTTCGATGTCCCAACCTAGTTGCAAACCAAATTCTCAAAAACGGCCTGTTTAGCAATAATACAGCTAAACATTTTAGTCAAAGATCAAATAAATATAACCACACCATTCTACGATGAAAACTCTAAGTATTCCCAGACAATGTTAGCAAATATTTCAAGCACTAAACAGTGAAAAATACATCGCAAATTTCGTTAAAATTTGTGACGCCAATTTCGTAGCTATAAGTGTAAAAAAATACAAAACAAAGACGAAAAACATTTACCTTGAATACTTTGTCGTGGCTTAGGCATGTTTTTGAAACCATTAGACCAGTTTATGCTTCAATATCACCCTTTTAAAGTGGAAAATATAGCAAAACAACAAAAATGCCGAGAACTTTGGTAATATTCGCAATACGCGTGACGTCACGTTTTTCAACAAGGATGAGGTCAATGACGTCAGGAAGTTTCCTATCCAATTATTTTACAATCCATGATCCGATACAACACTGACGCGAATGTTGTAAAAAAACGACTCATCTTATGAGTTCATTGGCGAAGTAATTTTAAAAATAAACGTTGTCTAAACCGAGAAAATCAAAGTTAACGTTTATGTAAATCAACATGAATCTGTATCACATATACAGATACGACACGCTAGGCTTATGATTTTTCTTTGTGTTTTCTTAATGAATTATTAATCAGTTTTTTAAGCGTAATAAATAACTGCAAGAATTTTCGCGCCAGAATTTTTAATCAGATCCAAATTCCTGCAAGCGAGACAAGTGGATCTCGCGGCTTCGCCGCTCACCGCTCGTTATTCGAGATCGACTTGTGGGCAAGTCTAATCAAGACGTTTCACAAGCCATTTACAACATTCGCATCCGTGTTGTATCGAATATACAAACTCTCCCCTTCTGCTCGGGTTTGTGTATCCGATTCAACACGGCCGCTCATTTTATGCATAGTACGAACCCGCCTCGCTCCGGTTCGATCTTAAATGATAATACGATCTTAAATCTTATCTGTCTGATCGTAAGCAAAGGTGCTTCGTGAATGATACACTATCCAGTAGCCGTTCTTATACTTATGGTGTTCCGCAAGGGTCAATAATTGGACCTCTTTTGTTTCTGGTCTATATTAATGATTTGCCAAATTGTATGAATGACGGTTTAGCAAGAATGTATGCCGATGATACTAACATAACTTTTCATGGCCATGATCTTTCTGAGTTGGAAGACGCAATGAATGCGGAATTGATCAATCTGAATACCTGGCTACAATCCAATAAATTAAGTCTTAATATTGCAAAAACCGAACTTATGGTCATTGGCTCCCGTCAGAGACTTGCAACCTTCAGTGAAACCAACGATTTAAATGTCTTTGTAGACAACAAAAAGATCAAAAAAGTTCAATCTACAAAGTCGTTAGGTCTAACAATCGACGAGCACTTAAGGTGGCTCCCTACAGTTATTCTTGTTTAAGCAATAATTACGTAAAACAGGCTTATTCGTGCAGAAAGCGAATTCTTTTCGACTTGGTGGAAATATTGGTCACCTAAGGAATATTTCGAACTAGATTTCGACGATGTCAATGTTCCCATGGCAACATGACGACAGCATAAAGCCTTCCAATTTAACCCATAAATGTACCGCTATCTCAAAAACGATGTCGGTGACCTATCTTTTTTATTTCATATATCAATAAGGAATGATACTCTGCAACTGTGGTGAAAGTTTAAAAAAATTATGTAGTGTGTGATTTTTTTAAAAGCGAAAAATTTATTGCGAAATTTCCACACTACAGATTTTTTTAGAATTTGAAATTTATAAAATTTACCGCAAAATAAATTCGTGGTGAAAATTTGAAGATAGGTCACCGATGAAACTAATGAGTAAAATGCATATAAAGTTAGAAAATAGCCTCGTGTAACTCGAGAAATTCCCCTATTGAAAAGCGTCGCTGACTAGTAAAAGATTGTACGCGGGCGCAGAACGAGTTTTCATTCAGCAAAATCGAGCGGAAATGTTGTTTTTACTGTTTTGTTTTTGTCAACTTTTCGATTTATTTGAGTGCTATAGACAGCCAAGGATTATTGTGTAGGATTAAATCGATGAAAACAAGGTTGAAGCTAATTGAATCCTGCCGTTTACTCAATCTATGAGCTGTAACAGCCTATTAACAGGTGGACGTGTTTTCCTGCTTTATGTTTGGTTTTGTACTTTTTGCTAAAAATGAACAATTAGGCTATGAAACTGAAATATTTTTCTGTTTACATATAATTACTTTAATCTTGTAGAAACTCGACTAAAAACGTGAACGTTTTCTTGAGAAGTAAACAACTTTTTAAACGTTTGTATGCAATTTTGCAAATGTTTTACAGTTGAGTCAGTTGACAGTGTATAAAAAAATTAAAAATCGTAGCTATTTTTTGGTCTAGTGATATTCGTATCATATGTAGAATTGCTGTATAGACTCGCAAGTGATTTGGCACTCAAAACGAAGTATCATTCAACACTTTTTTCCATTAGAAACCTTTCAGAAATAGCTTTATTTTTAAAAAAGCATGGTCAATTTTTGTTTTGTTTTGATCATGCAGTTGCGTGGGATAGTTCGCGTACTTGTCCCGCGAACATCCCGCACGGAACTGTAGGGAGCCTCCTTAACTTGGAAAAACCATATCAATAATATTACCAAAAAAATTTCGTCCGGTATTAGTGCTCTTAAGCGCGTAAGACCTTTCATCAATAGAGAAACGGCTGTGAAGGCATACAAGGGCCTGGTCGAGCCCTATTTTACTTATTGCTCTCCAGTGTGGGATGGTATTGGTTTAAAACTGGGTGAGAAACTACAAAAGCTGCAAAATCGTGCGGCTAGGGTAATGACCAGGTCCTCGTATGAGGTTTCGTCAGCATCCCTACTTTCTGAGTTGGGATGGAGTGTTTTGGCAAAAAATCGCATGAAGCAAAAAACTATCCTAATGTACAAAGTTAATAATAATTGTGCTCCTCAATACTTGCAGCAGTTATTTACACCCAAAGTGAGCAATCATGATCTGAGAAATTCTCTAAATAAATTGTCTGTTCCAAAACCTCGAACAGACTATTTAAAACGTTCTTTCAGCTACAGTGGTGCTTCCCTGTGGAACAGCTTGTCAGAACAGCTCAGATCAGCCCCTTCTCTCAATTCATTCAAAGTCGAATTGACAAATTTCCTATAGTATACTGACTATATGGACTCTTGCACGGCAATCATGTAAAACAGTAATTATTATTTTTATCTTTTGACTAACATTGTATATATTTAAATTTGTGTATTTTATTCTTGTACTGATGATTCTTCCGTGTTGAAATAAAGTGTATGTATGTATGTATGTATGTATGTATGTATAAATATCCATATTATTATTATTATATTGTTTAGGGACATCAATGAACAATTCCTGTCCGGTCAATAGAACATGTGACTGTGAGAATGAAAAAAATACACAAAGCACCCCTGATCTACAGGAAGCGTTATTTGCCAGAGACTTTCAAGACACAATTTTAACAACAGTCTTCACAAAGAATGACGATAATGATAAATATAGATCTACACGTCGCCCTACGACAATGACGTTACCAAATGTGGTTAGAAATAGAACTACGTCAGTTTCACAAGGATGTGATAATAATAACAAGGTAAGAATTTTCGATGGACGAGGTTTCAGTAGTCCGTTGACTTCCTATTCAATTAGGGACAGTAAAGGCCGTTTCCCACTAGACGAAGAAATCACAAAACAAAGAAAAATTTCGCTCCGCACGCAAAATTCCGCCTAGTGGAAAACGGCCTTATGCCGGTTTTCCACTATAGGCGAACTCGTTCACGCGAAACAACTTTTTTGCTTTGTCGCCATCGCTTACAGGGTTCGTAGCGTTCTTTGAAATCCTTGAAAGTCTTTAAATTGGAATGCAGGTCTTTGAGGTCTTTAAAAAGTCTTTAGATTGTGTGAAAAAAAAGCGAAGAAAGTCTTTAAAAGTCTTTAAATTCTTTAGTGAGGAATTGATTATACGATTTCCTAGCTAATAAAATAGATTGATTGAATCAAGATTTTCGCCAATATCGACGAAAATGCGCATTTTAGGATGTGATTTGACGGGACTAATTACCGAGTAAAAATAGTGCTCACACTCGCAATTTTTCGACAGCTGATTGCTCTCAAAGGTCTTTGAAAAGTCTTTCAAAATAGGCAGAAAAAATCTTTGAAAGTCTTTGAATTTTTTTGGTCTTGGAGACTACGAACCCTGGCTTATCACTTATCGAAGTTTCTTCGCGCGAACAAATTCACTAGTGAAAAACCGGCTTTATAGATACTGTTTTTGTCGTTCAAACGGCAAACCGCAAGGAACCGCATGATTAATGTCTAACGGTTTTGTTTGCCGTACATTTTAAGCCTGGTTCACATATGCCTGCGGCATGCCTGCGACTGTATCATTATGCCTCTACTTGCCGCCGAAATACCGGCAAAGTTGAGCTCAAGTCAACTTTCCCGGCCTACCGCCGATGTAACTGAAGCCTGGTTCAAGCCTGGTTCACATATATGCCTGCGACGTGCCTGAGACGTACCGGCGACGATGCCGGTGGTAGCTTAAAACGTAAATTATGTGAACATTTGTTCACCGATTGCCTCCAGTGCCACAGTTACATCGGCGGTAGGCCGGGAAAGTTGACTTGAGTTCAACTTTGCCGGTATTTCGGCGGCAAGTAGAGGCATAATGATACAGTCGCAGGTATACCGCAGGCATATGTGAACCAGGCTTGAGGCACTGGAGGCAATCGGCGAACAAATGTTCACATAATTTACGTTTTAAAGCTAGCACCGTATCGTCGCCTGTACGTCGCCGGTACATCGCCGGTACGTCGCAGGTATATCTGTGAACCAGGCTTTAAACGTTTTTGACAGCTGGAGTGATATTTTCGTAGGTCATTTCTCTCAAGCTTTTGTTTCTTTAAGGTGGCGCGATAGGGAAAAAAAATGTTTTTGAAAATGTTATTTTCATGCCTTAAACTTTGATATACAACGGTTTTTGTAGGCAGAAATTCAACTTCTGCTTCGTGTATTAACATGTCATATTTTTATGTTTTGCATTTTTTATGTTTGTAATTTATCACCCATGCACAGACAGTTTAAATTAAATATCTTTGAAAACCATTAAAACTTGCAGCGGTTCGTGGTTTAACATCGAAGGAAAAATTTAAAGGCTGCAATTTAAACTGCAAACATAACAACACGAAATTATTTTTAGAATTCTTCATGCTCAACTGCATCTCCAAAGACTTTACCAACATCAAATCCTGCCACAGTTATGTCGACATCACCTCAGCCAACTGCAGCTCCTGCGATCACACTAAATACCACTTCACAGACCATAATTTTGAAGGAATTGAAATATTTTACAGATTACACTGTCGAGGTATGTTGTATTTCTATGGTTGTAACCAGCTCTCAAAAGTAATTACAGTCAATGTAACGTTCGTCGTAAGGCCATACGAGCCCAACTAACTGGGAAACTCGCCTGAGTGAGATTCGCTTAATTGTCATTTGTTAACGCTTATAAAATACGCCTTTTCGTGGTTTCAAAACACCGTCTTGCCAAGTGGGGCAAACACAATAGAGCAACAATACCATGACCCTAAGGACAAGTATTCCGATTGGGAGTTTGGGACGAGGCAAAACAGTGTTTCCAAAAAACCCAAAACTATTGAGATAACTTATTGTTAGAATGTGAATACCCTAGCACCATGGATTGTAAAATAACTGGATAGGAAACTGTAGTCACGTGACACGTTTCCATCCCGCTGATTGGCTTTTTTGCTCAAGAGATGTTGAAACCTAGTTGCAAATCGTGATGTCAACAATGACGAATGATATTGCTGAGATTCTGCCTATGCTTTTGACTGAGATTTTGTTTACCTTCTCATGTTTTTTTTCTTGAAAATGTGTTTGCTCTTGTTTTTTTGCTATTTTACACTGATCTATGGCCAAAATGGACCCGCCTAAGCCACACAAAAACTCTTAATGCAAGTGTTCATCTTTATTGTTTACATTATTGTCAGTTTACAACAGAGATAATTGCGTCCCCAATAGCAATTGCGACGCATATTTAGAGTATTTAATCTGTGTATTTTTACCCATAACATACTTCAACAAGTAGATTTGTCCTTTTATTGTGGCTTAGTCATATTTACAAACATTAAGCTTGGTTTTATTTTGTTATTTTTTCGATTTTAAGTTGTGTTTTGAAAGCCAATTTGCAACTAGGTTTAGACTGTGACGTCACGAAGTTTCCTATCCAGTTATTTTACAATCCATGCTAGCATTAAGCTGAACGCAAAGATGCGTCAAATATTGACAGGGTGCATATATTAACTATTGACTTATCTTTGTAAAGCGCACGTTATCTGCTAGATCTTGGGAATTTAAAGCAGCTTCTTAAATTCTAAAAAAGAATAATTTCGCAAAAATGATCGGTTCGGGAGAAAATGCACCATAGAACAACGTCATTGTTACGTATTACATAAATCTCTCTTACAAACATTCTTTTAAACAGTTTCTTTATGCACAAAATTTACTTATGTCAATGTTTTATGCACTTGTGGGAGTTGTGGGTTCAGCAGAGTGCTGAGGCATTCAAATTCTAACAATATACGTTATTTCAATAGTTTTGGGATTTTTTGGGACATCCTATAGACAACTCACAATACCCAATTCACAACTTACTTTAGATAACTCACTTGCCTAATTAACATTAGTATAAACCTACTAATAGGCTATTATGCATCGTGTGTTCTGATTGGCTACGCTACTAGTAGGCTATTAGTGATAGCCTACTAGTAGCAACAAGCGGCGAAGGGCGCGAGAATCTCAATGGCCTTTTTAAAAAAGTTTAATTATTAAAAGCTGCATTTGAAGGGAAATTTTGCGTTTTGAACATGAAAGTGACAGGCGATTTTGTTTGTTAATATTCCAACTACAATCGTTGAAACTCAACAATAGCTCGTAGCTTGTGCTTGTTTTAAGTACGAGTTCATTCGTGAAAAGAGTTTTTTCGTTTATTAGAATGTCGAGATTTTGGCCGAGTTTTTCGATTAAATTTTAATGTAAACTTCTGTCTCTGTATACTAGAGATAGAAATGGTTTGCCTCTTTATTTTTCCAGATATTTTAAAGATTTTAACGACATTCGGATTCTTTTGCGTGCATTTTTCTTCGGCTTTTTAACGTAAACTTTATTTAGTAACATTTCGGGAAGCCATTTTGTGTTTGAAGTTTTGGACCTTTTAAGCCTTTTCCTTCTTTTAATTTGCCAAACTTTGCTGGTATAAGGACCCCTTACTATTATACTGTTTACGACAGGTTTTGCAACTTTTTTAAAACTCACAAGTCGTATTTTTCAAGTCATTCTTGGGAGTTCGCAATGTTGATTAGTTGTCAATAAGGCCGAGGCGAAATGTCGCCAAATGCAGCCATTTAAACGCTCATTTCGTTAAAAAGTTATTATTTTACATAAAAAATCAATTTTAAAATTCAGTTTTGTTTTTGTAGTTTATACTAAAACAATTAGACAACTCAGCCTCGTTGTCTCTGAGCGAATAGTCAACCCGGCAAAGTGAAATCTCAACATGAGCTACAGTACGTTGGATCTCAGTCATGTGAGACAAAAATTTCCATATGAAGGCCTTATCCACCCGCATGGCCGGGATGGACATTTTTTGCCGATTTTAACTGTATATAATACCACAGATGATAGATTATATACAAAAGTACAATCCATCATCTGTGATAATACTATTGAACGCCATAGCTAATTGGAAAATAGAAACAAAAAAATAACATAATAGACTTACTGTCGTTCCAATTGAAGTGTTGCTCAAATATTGATTCAATACATTACCTCGGGCTGACCAATTCATTTGATCAAGTTCCACGAGATATTCATACACTTCCTGTGAAAGAGCCAATTCCAAGTATTTGATCATTTCTGGTCACTTCCTTTCTATTTATGATTGGTTAGTTGCACAAACAACAAAAGTGATTGGTGCATTCAAACTATTCAACAGGAAGTTTACAATTATACTAGGAAGTGTATGAATATCTCGAGGAACTTGATGAAATGAATTGGTCAGCCCGAGGTAATGTATTGAATCAATATTTGAGCAACACTTCAATTGGAACGACAGTAAGAAGACACCATTAAAGTTGTAATACAAGGTGCAGTTTGTTTAATCACAACGGACCAGTAAAGCGGATTTCGACTTTTTACGTGCGGCCAGACTGAGGTTCGTGTCAGGAACCTCTTGATTTTCGCTTCCATCCATCCGAATTGGATTGAAAACTGTGTTTGTATCTGTTTGTGGTAATCTTCAACACATATGACAAAACAAAAGATTTTTAAAGTTTCTTGCTTGCTTGCACGAGCGCGATGATGCAGTATGCCACCAAAATAGTTACACCAATCTTCGGGTGACGTGCGTGTTGACAAATATGTCGCTTGCTTAAGCTCGCTACTATGTTACAGGGATGTACAATTATCATTTCTAGACCTGAAACGAGGGGGATTCGGCGAAATTTAATATTTCCCCCGAGCGGATCGGTCTATAAATGATTGAAATATAAAGTTGATAATATAAAACTTGCCACGTACCTCGTGAATACGATATTTTCATTTCTGGATTAACGCAAGTATCTTTCGAATCACATATCATTTGGAATATTGATGATAACATTTTTCAAAATTTGTTAAAAACTTAATGATTCATCATTCCTTTGTATATTTTGTCGGCCGTCTTGTTTGTGTAATCGCCGTGCGTGGTTTACGCGAATTATGTCACCCGGGATCAAATCACCTTGTGATATTATCCAAGTCACCCGCTTACGTCAAATACGATGACATAAGGCGCGATTCGATGATAAATTTCATGCTCACGTGGCGCAAACTTAGCTTTCTGATTGCACACTTTGAATTTGAAGCATAATATTAACCAATGTGCATATTTTCCCATTTGTTAGGTGTGTGCGTGCAACGTTGGTGCAGGTTGTGGTGAAAACAGACTGTTTAGAAAACAATGTTCTACTGCCATTGGACGAACAGAAAAAAATGGTAAGTATACTTTTATAAACCACTTAATCATATATAGTCTTGACCGCGCATCCAAATGACGCATTCTGATTCGGGGTAAATAGATTATTCCAGCTATAGTCTAAATTTTGAACCATACAAGAAGGACGAAATCTATCATTATAGCTTAAAAGAACATCCTTAAATTAAATTGGTAAAATTGCTAAATTTGGTTGCAAAATGTTATGAAATACGGAACTAAATATAGCCCTGTGAAATTAGCAAATTTTGAGTATTTTAGTATTACGCGCGGAAAAATGCACCACTTTTGAGCCGAAAACGAAAACTAATACTATAAAATACTCGAAATTTGATAATTTCACACTAGGGCTGTGTTTTTCGTATTTTACAACATTTCGCAACCAAACTTTGCAATTTTACTAATTTTAGGATGTTCTTTTGAGCTATAATGATAGATTTCGGCTTTCTTGTCTAGATAAAAAATTAGTCAATAGCTGGAATCATCCATTGCAGTTGAAATATATACCATGCAGGGAACTTTACTACGCATTTCACTGATATGTGCATTCCGCATTTTTTTCTCGCTTCCGAACGGCGTTCGACGTTCGACGCAGGCCTGGTTACAAAAATTGGCGCCTTTTCAAGTTTTCGTCAATACTTCTGTCATTCAAGACAAGACATTGACTATTTATATTGATTTATATTAACTTCGGAAAATTCAAACTTGAAAAAGCGCCAAATTTTGTAACCAGGCCTGCGTCGAACGTCGACCGTCGAACGCCGTTCGGAAGCGAAAAAAAAAGCGGAGTGCACATATCAGTGAAATGCGTAGTAATAGCATGTAGGATGGCAACGTGACGAGGACGGCCAAAAAAACTCCTTCAAATAAAAAAGTCGTCGTGTATTATTCGTTGCATAAGACCGTCAGTGAGAGGTTTATAGTTAAGAGGACTTCTGTACTAAGCCAAATTGTCGAGTGCCACTTCTCGCGCGGCTTCAAACGCCGACGTTTTATGCAAGACGTAAAAGTCTTTGGTTCGCGTTTGTAAATAGGGAGCTTAAGCATGTATAGGACGGCAACACGACGACGACGGCAACCAATACAATGACTCAATGAAAAGAAATAAATCATTGAAGTCCCAGGGGAGTTTCAGACGTGGTCGTCGCTCTGTTGACAACCGCAAAGCACAGATTTTCACGTCTTTTATACAACGCCTGAATTTTTTCAAGCCGTAATAAGTGCAACTTAAAATTCGGTTCAGTAGAACTCTTCCCAAACATAAAGCCAATGTTTTCAACTTCTTATACTGTATTAATTTCATACGAATTATAATATACGACAAGGTTTCTTTACTATCATTTATTTGAAGGAATTTGTTTTGGCCGTCGTCGTCGTGTTGCCGTCCTACATGCTTAAGCTCCCTAATAGAGCGACGACGACGTCTAGAACTCCCGATGGATTTGTAATTATTCATTTCTTTTCTACACTGTCATGTTCATTGTATTAATTGCCGTCCTCCCAGCTGAAGGTCCCTAAAGCCTGGTTTCCATATGGTCGTATAGATTGAGTCACGATCTTTCTCATCAGCCGAAATACAGCATTTTAGAACTGAAAATACGCGGAGTGATTGTAACTAGAGAATATTTATGATTTATATGTGATAGTGATAGTGAACTTTATTTAGGCACCGAGGCCTGTCATCGAAAATATGATGATCTTCCCTAGCCTGCGAACAGGCTCTCAAGCTGAATTGAGAGCCTGCATCGATGACTAATGAATTTGAATATCTGCGCCTCAAATCGTGACGCGAAATTCTCATTGGTCAGATGCTATAATTTATATTATTCCGCTGAGCTCTATATATGTCAACTGTGCTAAGCACTATGCATAAAATACACATTAACTGATCAAATTGGTCTTGGCCATCTTATCTCAAAGCACGAAATGTTCTGTTTTGAGAAAACAGTACTTAAAACATTTAAACTTTTGCTTCAATATCTTATATTTCGAAAAACAGTATAAACTGTACGGTCTATATTTAGTTTGCACGGTCTAAATTTAGTTTGCACGAAAGTTGTAAACAACACCATATAAGGATAGACATTCCATATTTGGAAAAATGAACGTTACGGGGCAGATATTCAAATTCATTAGTCATCGATGCAGGCTCTCAATTCAGCTTGAGAGCCTGTTCGCAGGCTAGATCTTCCCAGGCGCCGTGACATTTTAAATGTTTAAAATATTTACAAGGAGAATGAGAAATTAAAGCTATTTATAATATAGCATTTGTAAATTCTGAACGCTGATTGGATAAGAGCCGTGTTGATATAACTCAATGTCAACACGGAAACGTCGGAAAATTTCTTTCTTTATATTTCTTCGTGCTATATTATAAAACAAATATAAAACATTTTTTCCTGTATTGACATATACTTATATCAACACTCGTGGAAATTGGGAAAACTTGAAATTGTGTGAAAACACTCCGCCCTTCGGGCGTCACAATTTTTCGTTTTCCCAATTTCCACTCGTGTTGATATAACTGTATATCAACACGGACAATGTTTTATGTTTGTTAAATACATAACAAATTAATTTTACAGTTTAGAGTATTTTTAGGGAAGTGGAATTCCTAATTTTAATTGGTATTGAATTCCATACCACTGCTCTGTTATATTCGAGACTATTTTTCAAAAAATTGGTGTTTGGTTTAGGGATAACAAAATTGTAGTCATGACCTCGTGTACCATGACTGTGGTTTACATGTTTAAACTATTATAAACTGGCCATTGAGAACAAATCATGACTCTATTTTTACGACTGCCATTACGTCTTACGACCATATGGAAACCAGGCTTCAAGCCTGCCGCACACGAGGGCAACTTGCTGAGCTAACCGCCTCGAGTGGCATCTAGCTCAGCTATGCATTTTCACCGCACACGTTGGGAAAACTATACTCAACAACGATATGATTGACAAAATCATTTGCATTTTCCTCCATTTTCTTCCAAGTCACGTGAAGAAACTATGGTATCTCATTGGCTAATTGATTCAAACAACTCAGCACTAAGCTCACAACATCCGCAGACGCTGAGATTTTTTCCTCGCGAGGTGAATAATATCAAACACGATAGATATATTTTCCTCAAGGCCACGAGAGGTAAAATCCTCACGCACACGAAAGAAACTTGCTGAGCTACTGTAGCTGCCACGGGAGGCGGTTAGTTCAGCAAGTTGCTCTCGTGTATGGCAGGCTTAGCACGTAGCTGAGACGGGAAGAATTAGTATATGCGTATGAATGTATTCGACGTGCTGTTCAATCATCATTTGGATATGCAAAAATTTACTCAAAAGGCAATAATTTCAATGATTGTGGCAATAAACCAAAGAAAACTGATTTGCATTACTGTCTTTAACATCAATTTCGGAAGCCTTAACACCCAAAAACACATTAAAGATGAATTTGTTTTCGAAGAATATATATTGCATTTTATTAACTAAATTTCACAAATATGTGGAATTCCCAATCCCATGACGAGAGGCTTCGGTATATAATATCACAATAGTTGTAAAGATAAATAGTCTAGACTCAAAGTAAGTAAGCGTGAAACTTCATGTAATCGATCACTGAAAAGCTCCGATGGGAAATGAGCTGAATAGTGCGTCTTCAACTTAGACATTAAAAAGTTGTTCTTTCCTCTGTTTTAGACACGGCAGATAATATTGGCGATTCTCTGACGTACAACGCAAAAAACTCTACCAAAGAGGTGAAGTAATTAGTATTAGTAACTATTAATTTAAAACAATTTGTATTAGAGCTGCTGCCTTGTAAACAAAACGTATTTACAAGCTTTTAGAAATTTTATTCATTAGAAATAACGTTGAAGAATACCTGTCGACACTGTTGAACAAGACTTTGTGTCTTTCTTGGGCTCTCAATCCTAGTCGCAAGAGGGTGCGAATTTGCGATCCTTGAAATCCTATATACATAGTTCAAAATCTCGTTCCTCCTTTCCCCTTTTTAAGATCCTCTCCCAACCATATATATAATATGAAATCAATGCATAACATTCCTCTCTCTTAAATATTCCTTCCTTATATTTCTCTTAATGTAGTTCACTTTATACTGGGAAGCTCCTGGTCGTCCTAATGGCGCAGTTTTGAGATATGAGATCTGGATTCAGTATCCTAAAATTAGAGAAAATGAAACGGTATGTGTAGGATTTGGTGTGCAACCAATCTCCAGCGGTACATACATGGCGCACTGAAATGATGTAAGCCGTATTGGATAGAATTAGAGCTGGAAACAAGCAAAATCCTTTGTTAAATGTATCCAATATGGCGGCGACAATGTGACATGCATGCACGAGGAGGATGCTGTTGTACATCCACAGTGCTAAAATTAACGTGATTGGCTAATTTGTGGTGACATGGATTTACGTACCATAGGCCCTTCCTGCTAGAGGGCCCATAGTTCCATTTTTCGTAGCCGCTTTAGGTTAGGTCTTGTTATAACTCTTTGACGAGAACGAGGTTGCATAGCCAAGACTGATCACATTTCGGAAGAAGGAAGCAGCTCAACCTGATCGAGTCGCAGGCTTCCCAACGTAGGGGCTAATCCCCACCCTAACTGGAGAAACATTTTCGTCGTTTCCCTTGGTTGAACAGAATTTCGTAGACATTCTGTACACTGGTTTCCGAACATCTTTTTCTTTACACCTCCAGAAGCATTAGCTTTGGTATAAGTTAGGTGCTGTTTAAACGGTCCCTCTTTGCCGAGACGAGATGTGTAATTTTGATGCATTGAAATATAAAGTCGCGGTGCACGATTCAGAAAAATTGCATTATAGCAGTAATAGGGAATTTAAGATCTTGACGACGAAATAGTTTTTGTTATGTGTATGCAAATACTAAATGCTTGTCATAACAAATTCATACCAAATATTTTTATGTGCATGGCTTTGTGTTCAGTAAATTTCGTCTTTTAACTTTCATCATTTCTTTATAAAAATACTGTCCAACCAGCAACGGCGCGTAGTCAGTTTCGGTGCTATCTTCTTGATTCTGTTTTACAACACAAGAATATGGTTTTTACGCTGTAGCAAAAGGTCGCTACAGTGAAAAGTATGCTCTGGGGATAAGTATATATATATATATATATATATATATATATATATATATATATATATATATATATATATATATATATATATATATATATATATATATATATATATATATATATATATATATATATAGATGTGTACCAAGCTGCACTGACGAGGCGTAGAACGCCGAAACATGCATGTCTGCAGATTATATATATGTATATATATATATATATATATATATATATATATATATATATATATATATATATATATATATATATATATATATATATATATATATATATATATATATATATATTAGTACAATCTATTTGTGAATATTGTAAATGTACACTGTCGACATTTTAGGTCTGGTTGAATGACTTCTGTATCGTTACCTAGGAAACTGCGACGAAATGTGCTTCGTCATCAAAGACAGAATATGAAGATCGTGGAGCATCATCTGGGAACTACGCTGCAAGAGTGCGGACAATAACTCCTGTGGGGAATGGTTCTTGGAGTAATATAGTCACTTTCAAATTTACAGAACCGTTGCGACCACCAGGTGGGTTGGATGATTCGTATATCGTATAGAAATATCTCATGGGACCCCTCCCCCTTTATTGTGCTCTTATGCGGCACGCCTAAATATGTAGAAGTACATGCCCCCTCAGACATATATAGATGATGGGATTCTAGTCTTCGTTTATGTGAATGTTGGACTACAGTGAATATATAAAACAACTTCAGCCCGGGCTGAAAACTCTTCATGTAATCATTCCCGTCCATTTTTATCAGCAGTATCTTTTGACTGTTGGTACATGTAAGTACAGTACAGTTATATTATGTGGCTTAAATTCCTCGTTCTTATTTGACGATATGCGTAATGACATCACAAGGCTTGATGCCCGCGAGGAATGCTTGTCTTGGTAGTCACCGCCCGGGAAAATTAAACAATTCAAAATGGGCACTATCGAAATTTTCCCGGGCGATGACTACTAAGACCAACATTCCTTGCGGACATCAAAACTTGTGACGTTATTATGCATAAGGTCTATTGCTAATAGGCTCATGCGCAATTTCATAATTATTATAGAAATACAATCTGCCAATGAAGATGTCAATTTAGTGACAGTGATTGGTGTTAGCATTGCAGCGGTTTTAGTGGCTGTCGTTATTTTTGCCATTCTAACGTATTCCTTTATACAAAGGTATGACTAGCAATTTTTCATTACCTGTAAAAGGGAGGGGGGATGCAGGGTTTGGAAAATATTGTTTCGTAATGATGGGGCAGGGTACTTAAAAAAGGTGGATTGATTTAAAAAAGGGGCGTGTGCAGAACTTTAATGAAGATCGCTGAGCAAGGCGATCAAAGTCCAGAAAATGAAGGTGGATTTTCAGGGGGTTTTAGATGATACATACAGTAAACTTTAGTAATTCCAGTTTGAAAGTGGTGAATGTTGGTGGTTAGGAGGGGACAGGGTATTTTATAAAATTGGGGATAATAGCCATTTCCTAACTATGAATAATAGCAAGGTTAAGTCTATTGTAGGTTTGCCTTAATACCGACTAAGACTTAGATTACTCCGATGTTCCAAGTGAACCCTATAATTATCAGTTTAGTCACAATGGAATTTTCTAGTGTGAAGTTATTCACATACTGATAACAAACTAGAAAATACATGCATGCAGAAACCCTTGCCTTGCTGACAAAACCGTTGTATTTTCCGAACATGAAGTATCTGAAGTAGTTGTCATGGTAACACGATAATTTTTTAAGAATATTCTTACAAATGAAAATCGCCTAAAAATATCACTTTTAATTACAAAATTATCAATTTCCCAACATATTTATGTTAGGTATGTAATTATACGTAATACAAGCTTCAATTTAAGGTAAAATTCAACCACAAACAATTCACAAAACGTTTTAAAGTGTTGGCTTTATCGATAAACTTTGAGTTTGCAATAAAATGATTTCAAATTCTCGCTTGCAAGTAACTTTGCTTTATTTTTTATTTAAAAAATTCAATATAATAAAAAAGGGAATCAATATTAAAGATACACTGAAATTATATGCTGTCTTGTTTAGTTGTTTCATATACGCAAAGGCCGTCGGGTTTTAAAGCCCTCGTTAAAGCCATTATAAAATCAATATTTAAAACAAACTTACCTTCGTTAACGTCGGCTCCCTTCTTTTAGCTGATTCTTTCGCCCTTTCTTTCTTGAAATTTACAAAATCTTGCAGAAATACGAGCAAAAATGAAGAATATTTGCAAGAAATTTATCAATCATCAACTCATCAAATCAAGAAATGTTTGCTATTTCGCTGTCGTCATGCAGCCGTTATAATGCAAACTTTAAATTGGACCAATCAGTGTCCGTTATTCATGATAGTCCGCCATATTTTTGAGATCAGTGAGGATGACAACCCATCGTTGGTGACCGACGCCCGCGCTCATTGATGAACTTTAGACTTCCCTAATGCTTTCGTTTCTCCGGGTGTAAATAGCCGGGGGGAATTAGTACCCTCGCACGGCGCTTCGCGCCGCCGGCTCGGGGATAAGAGCTACGGTATGTTTAATTTATTTACAGGCATAAGAAAAGTGGAAGTGTAGCAGGAGTTCTTTTCTCTTCAACTAATCCTGAGTATTGGAATTGCTCAGATGGTGAGCAGCAGTTTTACCTATTACCAACATTAGTGTATTACGTAGCAATAAACTACTGGCGTGTTCTCTGATTGGTTCGAGCATATTTACATTTGAACATGAAAGCACACAATTTGCAGATAATACAGATATTGTAATTGAGTTAAAGTTTGTTACATTGAAACAAGCTTGTTATACTTATTGAGAAGTTAGTAAAAAAATATTAAGGATTAAGCATTTCAATATAGGTGATTCCAGATATAGACTAAGTTTTGATCTAGACAAGAAGAACGAAATCCAACACCACTCCTAGAAAGAACATCTTAGAATGAGTAAAACTGCAAAGTTTGGTTGCTAAATGTTGTAAAATGAAGAAAATATAGCCCCGTGAAGTTCCCAAATTTTGTATATATTTGTATTACGCGCAGTAAAAGTAACCACTTTCGGCTCAAAAATTGTTATTTTTCACGCGCGTGATACAAATATATACAAAATTTGCGAACTTCACAGTGCTATATTTTCCTCATTTTACAACAATTCGGAACCAAACTTTGCAATTTTACTCATTTTAAGATGTTCTCTCCAGCTATGGTAATGGAATAGCATCGGTATATCGGCATCTTTTATTTGAAGTTAAGTCCTTTCTTCAAAAAACACTCATTGAGGAATAACTGGAACTTTAAATACTGGAACTTTCCATGTTTATCATGTTTCCTCCTCCACGCCTTCACCCTCACATATGGTCACCCCTCCTTTAAGAGCCCCCCTTGTTATCTTTTCAGTTCTACACGACTGTATGGAGGGCAAAATTGGCAAATAGTTATGTATTTATCTACACACACACACACAAACACAAACACACTCAAAATAGTTTGTGGATGCGTCCTCTCATTCCTCCCCCCCCCTAGGATTGACGCGACTTAACCTTATAGCGATTTTATTTGAAACGTTTAGTGTACGTGCCAGACGAGTGGGAAGTACCACGACATAACGTCACTCTGATACGTGAGCTTGGTAATGGCTCATTCGGCATGGTGTGGGAAGGAGAAGCTGTTGGGATTTTGCCTGGCGTTGACTGCTGTAAAGTAGCTGTAAAGGTAAGAATAAAATCATGCAAAATTAGTGGCTTGATTTAATCACCCGTCATTGCTGGCTGTGACTGCACGACCTAATCTAAAGCTGTTTCAGAACTTTTTAAGGTTACTCCACATGATGAAAGTCCATTTCAGGAAAATGCTCGCCGCGCACTAATTTTTTAAGTTTTCTCCCTCAAATTTGGCATTCACAACGATAAATCATTGGTGCTGCTACTACTTTAACAAAAAATATACATTTTTAAAAACTATGGTTGCTACGAGCTGCTTTTGAAAATATGACGCACTTCGCAAGCCTATAATTTGAAAACTAAAGCGTTAATTAAAAGAAAAACGCGAACACGGTTTTGCTCCTCTGTTATATTGTTCTACATCGTGGCAAAGTTTGGTAGCAATTGAATAAAACGTGCCCGTTCCATAACTCTTTTCGTGAGGACAACCGGACTGATGATTCCTTCTCTGTAAAAGACAAAAAGTGATTTCGCGGAGTTTTTCCGTTCTCTGTTATGTTTCTCCGCCCCCTGTCATCACTTCAAACTGTAAGCCAATCAGGTTCGACCACGGGCTTTAGGACAAATTCAATTCGACAACAATAGTATTCTATCTAAATAGCAGTTAAAATAAAGTGTACGGCACCTGAATTGTTTAATATCTTGCTTCTATGCAAATACTGTATATTTTCAAAATCCGCCATATTTATTTACATTAGAACCCAAGCTTTCGCGGTTCACACGAAATATTAACGTCGGTGATTTTCACTAATAATAAGAGGGTAGGATTAAAGTGGGCGTTGTCACTCGCTAACCCAATCAGCTGTCTGGGTTCTGTACCACGTGACCTGTTCAAATCGTTCCGAGCGGTAGAAATGTTATGACATCATAACGACTTCGATAAACTGATTTTGGGGACACGTTTGTGCCATATAAGGAAGTTGGGGACACGTTTGTGCCATATATGGAAGTGATGCTTTCCTCGCGCTTCGAACGATTAAATAATTGGATGATCCTACCCTCTTATTATTAGTGAAAATCACTGAAAATTGGTTAAAATAACTAAGTTGAATTGGTTGTCTCAGATACATTTTCTTTTGATCAATATTATTTGATCAATCTTTGCCCAAGCGGTTTGTGTAACGTTTTGACGGCACTTGATCCAGTCATTAGTTCGAAAGGTTATTTTGTGAGGATTTCAATGGTGGCTTTTATTTAAAAGGGGGTTAACTACTCGCCGATATATTTACATTAGAAAAATTCGGTCGTAATGTAATGCGAAGCTGGGTGATCGAGAAAGAGTTAAATTAAAAATCAGATTAATAGACTACAACTTGCACTAATTATAAATGCTGCTGCTCGTTTGTTACTTGTATACTCGTAAATATGATCAGTGGCGTAGCCAGCCCGACAATTTGGTCCCGCTATGCAAATTCAAAGTTATTATCATTATTCATTTCTTTAGAAATTGATTGTTTTCACAGTCAATGAACACAAAAATATTTGCATAGCGGGACTAAATCGTCGGGTTACTGAATATGATCCTGTTCAATGTAAAACTACACTGGTTACCTGAATCCTAATGTTAAATCATGCATGCATGTATTTCTAGTTGCTAGTTTATCTTGAAACACTTGATGGTTTAGCTCCTAGTTACAAATCTGTTCTTCAACTAGATTATGCAACGAATGCTAGGTCCGCTTGCTGCGATCCAGGGGCGTAGGAAGCATCAAATGGTTGGGGGAGGGGGGCACCGGTTCGATGGGCACTTCTCGTAATGGCGACGGGGAAGTGGGAGGGGGGGGGGGAAGGAAGGAAAAATAAATGAAATCATAATAAATGCAATCTGAAAAACATTTTTCACGAAGGCAAAGGGCACTTTGCCACTGGAGAGAGGGCATTTTGCCACCGGAGAGATGGCACTTTTTGTGTATTCTGAAAACTTGGGGGCTTGCCCCCCTCCCCCGGTTCCTAAGCCCTTGCTCCGATCTTAATTGCACACAAGAACTGCTTACTAATCCTCAGTCAAGAGCAGTAACATGTGGGGACAGCTCGTTCTGGAACAAGATGCATCTCCAAATACGGAAGGCGCTTAACGTCACCATTCTTGAAGGCCAGCTAAAAAATACTTATGCATTTAAACTGGCGTACTCTAACTCTTAGATTATTTCCTTGCGATTATTTTTAATTATATATTGAATATGTATGTGAAGTGTTTCATGACTCTCTTCCAAAACATCGTTCGTATGATCTCGAAAATTTCAAAAACGGGCTTGCAGGATGATTTTTCTTGAACATCGGTATGAAGGTGCACTTAATGAACTAGGTCTTATATCGCTGTTTGGACAAAAAGACCACGATTTGTGGTTATTTGAAGAAAAAAAAAGTGGTTATACATTACCAATTAACAATGTATTACGTCATTGAAATTTAGCAAAATTTAAACTCGAACAATGTAAACGTGTACATATATTCTCGCTTTTTTACAGACTGTAAGTGATAACAGTTCCATTCGTGACAAGGTCGAGTTTTTAAAAGAAGCATCAATAATGAAGTAAGTATCTCAACTCATTAATAATGCATGAGTAAATTAGTCAACCATATTCTTTGCTTTATTTTGCTCGCATGATAATACTAGATTCCTGATGAAGTATATTGATCCAGTCCTAGGACTGGATCAAATTAATTCAGTCATTGGACTTGATGAAAATTAATTAAGTAGTGATTTATTCGTATATGAGATGTAATTTCAAATCCTCCAATTTGAACTGGACTAGATTTCAAGACTAGATCAAATTGCGCGGACTTGATATCTAGTCAAGTACGTATTACAAATGAAAACATATATAGTATAGCATACTAACCAACGTATGGCATACAATAATGTAGCAGCATTATACATGTAAATGGGTAAATAGCGAGATTTTCGGTGGATCTCGTTCAATAGAATTAACAGCATGGATTTTTGTAGATGAAATATACGCAACTATATAAAAATGCAACTATATAGGCCCTTTTGCAGGAATCGAACATCCACCCTGCGATTCCGGTGCAGCGTTCTAATCACCAAGTGAGCTACAGAGTTGTGTATATTATATATATATGATGGAGGACTCCAGTAGATGGTATATGGGTAAGTCTCGAGATCTTGTTGGGGTGTGTCGTTCGGTATAGAACTGATAGAGTACATTTGGTTTTGTAGATGGACATCATATGCATGCTGTACATGAATTTGTGGTTAATGCTCATTCAGTAACTGGTTTCTGTAGCTCAGTTGGTCAGAGCGCTGATCTGGAATCGTAGGGCCGCAGGTTCGATTCCTGCTAGTGTGCCTATAGTTGCATTTTTTGGAACTTCTCCTGATTAGGTCTAAAATACATATTTACAATCGAGATTTCCATCTACCAAAACCCTCCACCATTTAGTTCTATCGATATATCTTACACTAGTTGGTTAGAGCGTTGCCCTGGAATCACAGAGCCGCAGTTGTGGGCCTGTAGTTGCATTTTTCGCAACTACTCTTGGTTGGGTCCAAAAATTTGCGTTCGAATATTCCATGCACAAAAACCCATGTATATAATAACACTCCTGAGGGCTATCAGAATTATTAGTGTGAAGTTTCACTTCACACTATTGTGATGGCTGGCGAATTCACACGAATCAGTCAGTCAATCATAGAGTAAACTTTCCGGGGGGTGTATACGATTTATGTTCGCAGTGATTTATTGTACTTAGTGCTTTGAAGGTTATTTAAGCAATTTTATTTATTTTCTTTAAATATTCTTTTGTCCTTTTGCCAAGTTCACAAAAATTTCGAGGAATCGTTGTCGTTATTGTAAGTTTTTGTAATTTCAGAACATTCGCTTCTCATGTTGTGTAAAGGATCTTTCCCCCCGGAACACCCGATTTTTTCTATAGCAGGGCAAATGCGCATGCGCTATGAAGCCGTAGATCACGATCACGATGCTAGGAAGGAGCGACAGTGTTGTTTTCAAATGTATAAATTTAAACATTTCAGACGTGAATATTAGTAAATCTTTGAGAATCTACGCAATATATAAATTTATGTTATGCATGACGGTCTTTCAATCAAGTACTGATATACTGTATGTGGACGGTAAATTTATTAATATACAGAGCTAGGAAGGAGCGACAGTGTTGTTTTCAAATGTATAAACATTTCAGACGTAAATAAGGACAAAGTCTTTGAGATTGTAGGCATTCGATTGAGTGCCGATATTATTTTCACGGCATACTCGTTATACAGAGGTACAGTATACGTAGGCAGAAGCGAGACAGTGTTGTTTTCAAGTATATGAATATTTCAGACATGAATATTGAGAAAATCTTTGTCCTTTGAGATTCTACGCAATAATACTATTATGCTGTGCATTTAATACCGTAATAGCATAGTTGCCCGGGTTTCTTTTGTTTCAACAGGGACGTTTAATCACGTATCGCCCGCTTTAGCGGGCGATTAGTTCTAATCGCCCGCTAGAGCGGGCGATTAGAACTAATCGCCCGTTACCAAGGGTCACACCTTTGTCTCCCTGACGACTACGCATTATGCAAGTGCCTCACGCACATAATCGTGCAAGGAACAGCAACAGTTAGCTCAGAGCCGTCAATAGTCTATCATCCGATCCCTGAGTTGCCGCATCATTTAAATTACGCACGTGCAGTCTCCAAATTTATACTAATATATTTAGCGTGTTTGTTGTGGTACGTTAAATGATAGATTGCGCATGCGTAACCGATTAAAGCGTAAAAAGTGCGCATGTGCAACAAGCTTTTACATCCCACAAGCAATGAAGCAAATGTTTTAGCTTAAATACGCTGATTCCAAGTAGGGCATGTTTGTCCATTTTTAAATGGGAGCGAAACTATGCTATTACAAACTAATAGCATGGCTTTTCGGGAGATTAGTGATTAAATGGCCCCTTACCCTCGGCAGGTTTGCGGAATTCCCTCGGGCTTCGCCCTCGGGAATTCCGCAAACCTGCCTCGGGTTACGGGGCCATTTAATCACTAATCTCCCTCAAGCCATGCTATTACTTATAAGTATTCAATTAAGTGCCCATCGATATTATTTAGACCGTGTATTCATTATACATTGTCATTGACTGTATAAGGTGTTACATCACAGAATAGATGGCTACGCTCAGTACAAAGAGCGAAACAACTATTAAACAGAAGCGGGTAAACGTTTGTACGGTGTTTACGAAGAAAATAACTTGCGAGACTAAAGAAATCAGTTGAGTCAGAGCTCCTTATTTAAATAAGAAAGGCGAGGAGATAGCCAATGCGTTATCGCCAACGTGTTATCGCCAATCGCTTGGCTCGCCAACAAGCTTTATGTAATAGAAAAAAAAAGCAAGGAGGTACATGTAGCCAACGTGTACCGTCACGGGCCTTGTCTTTGTTTACTGTCTAGCACAACGCCGTTGTCAACGGTGCAAACCGCTCTTGTTCAGTGCAACGATAACTCTACCAGATCTTACGAAAATCAATCTGTAGTATTCTGTACATAGAACTGTTCTAAGCAGTGGCGTAGCCAGACCTTCATTATTGGGGGCGAAGCGAACGCCGAAGGCGCGAGACCATCTAGGGGGGTCCGGGGGCATGTGCCCCCGGGAAAATTTTGAAATCTAGAGTCCCTGAAATGCGATTTCAAGCATTTTGGGGGTGAAATCTTGCAGAATTCCGAAGATTATAAAGTATATTGAAGACATAAATTTTCCCAGACATTTCTAATTTTCTACTCGGAATTAAATAAATTGGAAAATTCACCTTGAAAAACAGGAGGAGCCGGTCAGCGTCACCACCTTATTTCCCCTCTGTGATGCTGGGGGAAGAAAATCTCAATGTGATTTTGATCAGAAATGTTGCATTTAAATCATTCTAGGTTCTATGAGACAGCATTTCCGCATTCTCAAAATTGCTTTGCTTTTTTGTACGATACAGAATAAGTCTGAGAAGAATATTCATGCTATGTTAATGCATACATGTAAATCTAAACTAAATATATTCTTCTTGGAACCATAACTGCTTTAATTAAGGTTACAGAACACCTTTGAGTGTTAATTTTGCCTAAAATTTTTTTATTGGTTTCCATGAAATCATTAGACTAGTTCTACTATCTGACCAAGTTTGGACGAAAAATGTTGAAAACTCGCAGAGTTATTTAATAAAATACATTTCGCTTGCAATAAGAAAACAATGAAAATGTAATATTCAAATTCAATTTTCTCCCGAAGAATTTTACGGCAATTATACTGATTTTTAAACGAGTTGTGCTCCTGCGGGTTTTAACGAATTTTTCTCAAATTTTCACAGGACATTGCTAAAGACGTCAGTTGCAAAATTGTGGTCGGCTTTGTTCTAATTTTGGATATTTTAATAATAAGGAGCAATTCACACAAACGATTCAGAAATATATTGCAGTCGTCAAAGAAATCGCCATATCATCGGAATGACGAAATAAACAAAAATTTCCGAACACATTTTTAGAACAACTATTTTACTGTATAAAAATGATATTTTCATAAATATATCTTAAAATCAGCAGGAACATAACTCAAAAGCGTAAAGGCACCGCTACTTAATATTTTCCTGAATAATTCTTACATTATTTTACTGTTTGTCAATTTTACATTGTTTGTCAACTTACATATTTTGCATGCACTGACTAACATTTGGTGAAAATTTGATGAAAATCGGACTGATTTTGAGCGCGCAGTAGCGATTTTCCACAATCAAGTTCCTCCAGTATATCGTCGTTTTCCTCAGTCGAGACGTACTTAATCAGTTTCAGCTTCGACGATTTAACGCGTACCCCTCCCAATTTCTCTGGATTTAGCCTTTTCAGAGAATGGTTTTGCGATTGGGGGCGACCGCCCCCCTCGCCCCCCCTTGGCTACGCCACTGGTTCTAAGCTTGTCAAAACTGCTTTATTAAACACTGCTTAACTGTGAAACTATTGAAATCTAAACTCTAAAGTGATATTATTCAACACATGCGAAAAGCTGAAAATAGACGTGACACTGGGAAAAGTCAAAGGTCAATGAGACTTGTTATTGTGAAGCATGTCACAATTAGGTTAAAATGCGGGAGCGGATCCACGGAACGGTTATGCGGATAAAATACGGAACGGATGAGGATAAAATGCGTCCTTTTAATGATGTAACGATGTAGTGCTTATTATTCATAACATATCTTACACAGCTATTTCAATTATAGTTTTAGATAAATTTAGCATAGCAGTAGCCTCGTGGGGAGCTTTTAGCGACAGCTGCAAATGCAAATGAAAATTTAGAATATGCAAAATTTGGTTGTTGGTGAAACCATTTAATTGTCTCGTGTAGCATCGTGCAGCATCACAATAAAGAGATAAATTGCATCAGTTTCACAAGTCACGTTTCTGGTGTGTTAGGCTTGTTTCAAACGTCACGCTACTCGTGTGCCGAGCGTATTAAAAGCAACAAGACGCCTACTCAGGCGTTCACACTGACCTGAAAATGATGATATGCGTGCTATGGTGCAATCTCGTTCCCTGAGC